TCCTGCCTGTTTTAGAGGTAATATTTAACATTTGGAGAGTAGGGACTGTTAGGCCAAGCGTGGTCACAGTACTAAAGCACTCCGTCAGTCACAGATCCTCTATAGGTAAAGATTAGGAGGATTGCAGTTCTGTGCCAGCCTTACAAAAGTGAAAAAGACTTTCATCTCAACCAATAAACTGAGTGTGTTAAGTAGTTTCAGCAGCTGGGGAGGCATAAGTAGGTAGATCACTGCCTAAGACAGCCCAGGCAAAAAATGTAAGACACTATTCAAAAATAAAACAATAAAATGGGCCACTGGTGGTTCATGTTACTCAGGAGGTTTAAGATCTTAGGACAGAGGTTTGAAGCCAGCCTAGGCAGGAAACTTTGTGAGAGTCTTATCTCCAGTTAACCCACCAAGAAACCAGAAGTGGCACTGTGGCTCAAAGTGATAGAGCACTAGCCTTGAGCAAAGCTCAGGGACAGTGCTCAGGCCCTGAATGCAAGCTTCGTGACCAACCAAAAAAAAAAAAAAAAAAGTGAGGATGTGACTCACATGATAGAGGATTTGCCTAGCAAGCATGAGGCCCTGAGACAGACAGACAGATAGACAGTCACACACACACACACACACACACAAATAGAGACTATCAAATAAATCACTAATCAGAATTGTAATTAAATTTTCCTTTAAAATTAGTATATTTAAATAACCATGAATTGTTTGCTTGTTTGGGGTGTGTGGGTGTGTGTATGTTTAAGGTACTGAAGCTTGAATTCAGGGATGGGTGCTATCACTTAGCTTTTTTGCTCAAGGTTAGTGGTCTACCACTTGATCTACATCTCTATTTCCAGCTTTTTGCTGGTTAGTTGGAGATAAGAGTCTCATGTATTTATTACTATTTTTAACCAGGGGTGGCTTTGAAACTGGATCTTTATATCTCTGTACCTTCTGAGTATTTAGGATTACAGACATGAGGAACTAGTGCCTAGCTTTTGTTTTTGAGACAAGATCTTGCTGTGTTTCCTAAGCTGCACTTGACTTTATGTGTTCAAGTGGTCCACCTCAGTTTACCCCAGTAGCTGGAACTATAGGTATATAGCACCATGCCTGGCTTAGTTAAAAGTCTCCTATGTGACTCAACAATATAAAGTGTTTCGTTCTAACAACTTAGATTTTTAGTTTACAGATAAGAAACTACACTTGAGAAATTGTGACTTGCTAAGAAATGCACAAGTATAAACAGGAAAAGTTGAAATATAAAATCCAGATCTTCTAATTTAAGGTCCACTGTTTCTTTCACGTACAGTAGTGCAATTCTAAATCTGCTTCAGACCCAAGCTGAGGTTACATTGGGGAAGCCTTCACCCCATCTCACTACCCGTTTTAAAAAGATCCTGGGCTAGAAGTATGGCTCAGGTAGTAGAGTATCAGCCAAACAAGTAAGCTGAGCAAGCACAAAGTCCTGAGTTCAAACCCCAGTGCTGGGAAAAATAAAACAACCAAACTTATGGTCTTGACAGATTCAAGACCAACCCCCATCTCCTTGACTAGAGGAATATGATTTTGCCGGGCACTGATGCCTCACGCCTATAATCCTAGCTGCTCAGGAGGCCTAGATTTGAGGATCATAGTTTGAAGCCAACCTTAGGGATGAAAGAGACTGTCTATAATTAGCCAGTAAAAAACTGGAAGAGAAGGTTCAGCTCAAGTGATAGAATACTAGCCTAGAGATAAAGCAAGAGTGCCAGGCCCTGAGTTCAGCCTCAGTACCAGCACCAAAAAAACAAAAAGCAAGTGAGAGTTTTAAGGCCATGAGTTCAAGCCCCAGTAGCAGCACTCTTACACACACAAGTTTTTTTTTTTTTTTTTTTTTGGTCCGGACGTGGGGCCTGAACTGGGCCTGGGTGCTGTCCCTCAGCTCTTCAGCTCAAGGCTAGCACTCTACCACTTGAGCCACAGCGCCACTTCCGGCTTTTTTTCTTTTTGCTTATGTGGTGCTGAGGAATCCAACCCAGGGCCTCAGGCATGCAAGGCAAGCGCTCTACCACTGAGCCACCTTCCCAGCCCACACACAAAAGTTTTTAATCTTGGGGCTGGGAAGGTGGCTCAGTGGTAGAGTGCTTGCCTTGTATGCAAGAGGCCCTGGGTTTGATTCCTCTGCACCATATAAACAGAAAAGGCCGGAAGTGGCACTGTGGCTTAAGTGGTAAAGCGCTAGCCTTGGGCTGAAGAGTTGAGGGACAGCACCCAGACCCAGTGTTCAAACCCACGACCGACCCCCCCCCCCCCAACAAAGTTATTATTAATCTTATTATATGTTAGAGTTCTTTTAAGACCTTATCCAGAAAACCACTCTGCCACACTTAAAAGTTCCCAAGCCAGATGCCAGTGGCTCATGCCTGTAATCCTAGCTACTAAAGAGGCTGAGATCTGAGGATCGGGGTTCAAAGCCAGCCCAAGCAGGAAAGTCCATGAGACACTTATCTCCAATAAACCACTAGAAAACTGGAAGTGGCACCTATGGCTCAAGTGGTAGAACACTCACGTTGAGCTGAAGAGCTGAGAAATAGTGCCCAGGCCCAGAATTCAAGCCCCACAAAAGTTACTGTTCCCTGTCACTGCCCCCACATTAAAGGGAAAGAAATCCTGAGTCCTCTTTTGGTGACATGATGATTTTGGATTTTCTTTTCCTCCAGAACAGTTGGATATTTTTGAGCCTGATTTATTTTCCACACATAATGGTACATATTTTATTTTTGTTATTGTTGTTGGTCGTGGGTCTGGGCACTGTCCCTGAGCTTTTTCACTCAAGCTAGTGCTCTACCATTTTGAGCCACTGCCCACTTCCAGTTTTCTGGTGATTAATTGGAGATAAGAGTCTAACAGACTTTTCCTGCCCAGGCTGGCTTTAAACTGAAATTCTCAGATCTCAGCCTCCTGATTAGGATTATAGGTGTGAGCCACCAGCACCTGGCATGTTCTTTACTTTTGCTCAGATGCAGTTTTCCCTTACGTTGTCTACCATGATGCAACGTAGTTTTTATAGAAGCATAACCTATGGACAGGGATCAGATCAGACCCTTCACCTGCAGTGTATTCATGAGGCTTGTTTGCCAGTTTAAGACCTTTGAGCTTTGTGTAGATCCATTCCATATGCAAGGACTAGCCTCTTCCTTGATTAGAACCTCCTTAGTTCACTTTTCCACCAATTCAAAATATGAAGTTGATGGGTGTTATCCTTATTCTCCAGGTTATACTGGAAAGATGAACAGCAGTTCACCCAGAAAGTACAGTTGTAGATTAATTTTATCCCCTCAAATATGGACAAGCAAATATGGACTAAGAAGCTAAAGATAAGAGCTTACTCTAATAAGTATATTTATTCATATGCAACACTTTTTTGTGGGGGGGGGGTGTCCAGGGCTTGGGGCTTGATTTCAGGGCCTGGACACTGTCCCTGAGCTTTTTTGCTCAAGGCTAGTGCTCTACCACTTGAGCCACACCTTGACTTTTGACTTTTTGGTGGTTAATTGGAGATAAAAAGTCTCATGGACTTTCTTGCCCCAGGCTGGCTTCAAACCATAGACCTCAGAGCTCAGCTTCCTGAGTAGCTTGGATTACCGGTGTGAGTCACAAGCTCCTGGCCACTTTTTATCTTTAGTAAGAGTGCAGAAAGAAAAGAAAGAGAGAGAGGAAGGAAGGAAGCAAGCAAGCAAGCAAATGAACCTTTTGGAGGTTGGAGGTGTGGCTCAGTTCGTAGAGCACTAACCAGTGAGTGAAAGGGTCAGGAATGGAGTAGAGTCTCAGTCTTGGACCTTAAAAAAAAGTGCCTTGTGGTTTGGAATGACAATATGGAGGTAGTTTCCAATTGCTGTTATGTTTCTTTGGCTGCAAATTCTCCTTGCATTCCAGGGTTGGAAGTACAGAACTCTTCTAAAAAACAAAACATTGTGGGAAAAGACCACTGGTATGTTGTTTTTCCAGGAGGGTTTGAACGTTTTAGCTTTTCACTTTTATCCTGAATGTAGGGTACAAGTGTACCCTAGATGTGAGGATTGTAACCTAGAGCAAATACTTTGAAAGTTTTGGGTTCTAGAGCATAAGCTTTTTTCTCATGAGGGATATTGATAAGTTCATAGCCACCACAACTCAATCTTGGTTGTTCAGTGAACCTTTTGTGTTCTGAGTACTGGGATTGAATTAGGGAGTAAGCCTTTTAACTACTTTAGCCTTGCCCAGTCCTTTAGTTTGTATTTGGTTTTGAGATCATGCCTTCACCACCTTTGCCCAGGCTGGCCTTAAATTTGAAATCCTTCTGCCCCTGCCTCCTGAGTAGCTGGGATTATAGGTGTGTGTCGCTGTGCTTGGGTGTTTAGTGGACTTTTGAAGCTCCATTGAGGAAGTAGTTTATTATTTACCATATTAATTTCAGTTACCTAATAGAACTCTCAATCTGTTTTCTATACCATTTATAAGGTGCTTTATAGAATAATAATAGCAAGTGACTGAGGGCCATGGGCAAACGTGTAGACATCTGTCTGTTCTTTCAGTCAATATTGGGCATTATACCTTCTGATTTTATTCAGCCTGCTTTGAGGTATAGAACATATGCAGACTCCAAGCTGTGGAGAGAATGTATATCTTAAAGGAGATGTATGTTTGCACATGAGTTTGGATATCTACAAGTGTGTGCATGTGTATGTGTGTATGTGTGTGTTTGAGGGATGAGGAACACAATCTTTTTTTGCCAGTCCTGAGGCTTGAACTCAGGGCCTGGGCACTGTCCTTGAGCTTCTTTTGCTCAAGGCTAACACTTTAGCACTTGAGCCACAGCACCATTTCCAGCTTTTTCTGTTTATGGGGTACTGAGGGATCGAACCCAGGGCTTCATACATGCTAGGCAAGCATTCTGCCACTAAACCTCATTCCCAGCCAGAAGAACACAGTCTTTAGTAGCTAGTTTTCTTTATGTTACTTCTGTGTACTAGTGAACTTGATTCCTTTGCTCTTTCCAGGTAAATATGCAGAGGACATTTTTGGAGAGCTCTTTACTCAGGCAAACACCTTTGCCTGCCGAGTAAGCTCCCTTGCGGAAAGGGTCGACCGACTACAAGTTAAAGTCACTCAGCTGGATCCCAAGGAAGAAGAAGGTAAGGAAGCTGAGCTCAGCATTTGCAGGCTCTGCTGAGCAGTTTCTTAGAATTTTTTTTCCCCTGATGTATAAAAAAGAAGCAAAAGGAGAAATCACCTATAGAATTATGCCTTGAAATGACATAAGCCTGGGTGGTGTAAGAAACCTTTTGAGCTCTCCCACACCCCTCCATACTCCCTTTCTCTCGTTCCCCCAATTCCCTTGTTCTCAAGTTTCCCTTCTCTTGGCCCTATTTTGCTACCATAAAAGTACTTGGAAGATTCTTTCCGCTGAAGGAGAGGCCTGTTAGATCTGGCCACATAGGAAACCTTTGTGTAGCCTCGTGCTGTTCAGTCGTGAAATGGCTGGGCTGCTGACAGCCTCGTGGGGCCTCCCCAGAGGGGGAGGGAAAAAAAAAACCTGGCTGCAGACAGCCGCAGCCAAGAAATGCAGCAGCTGAGGCTGCTCTGACTGGTGTGACTCAGTGTTTGCTCAAATAGCCTGTCGTCCATTTTCTAACACCTTCCATCTTGTCTCAGTGTCACTACAAGGAATCAACACTCGAAAGGCCTTCAGAAGCTCTACCACTCAAGACCAGAAGCTTTTTGACCGAAACTCACTCCCAGTGCCCGTGTTGGAGACCTACAATACCTGTGACACCCCGCCTCCCCTCAACAATCTTACCCCTTACAGGTAACTGTCCAGCTCTCCTTGTTTGAGGCCTATGGTTAACAACATGAGATTGCTTAAAATATGTAAGGAAGTTGTTTATAGCAGAGGATTGTATCAAAAGCTTACTGTCTACCTCAGAGTTGCTTGTGGCAGCAGAAGCTAGGTTTATGCTGTAAACAGTTGTCACTTACTGTTCGGTTGTTGGGCTCCTAAAATTCATAGTGAGTGTAATACATATTGAAGGTTTGCTCTACCATTACAAGCTGCAGAGTTTAATTTGGTAAAAGCCAGGTCTGTCTTGGATTCCATCCAAAGAATTTAGTTATTATAGAACCAAAAGGCCTTTGTTCCAAGGCAGTTCTACAGCCTGGGTCCCAGGGGCAACATTCTAGGAAGGCTCCCACTAACTTGGAAACCACCAGATTGCCAGATGTTTGGACGTGTTAGTGGGACCATCTTCATGGACTGGCTGCTCTGGGCTCAGGGGTCCTTCCAAAAAGAGCGATTGGCATTCTTCCAAGTGAATGTCATTTGCTTTGTTTTGAACATCCTTTTGACATTTCCTTCTGCAAGGACCTACCCTGTTGCAGCTGGACTTGCAAAAGAAGGCAGCCTCAAAGACAACTCAAAGCTCTTTCCTTCCCCCTTGTAGTATGGTAGTGTTGTCATGTCACACAGAAACACTGAACAGGGGCGGAAAACGTATATTTGTCTTGTTTGTATCCATCCATATATATATATATATACATATATATATATATCTCTTTGGAACAGGTAAAAAGTACAGATAGCTGAAGGATAATGTCTTCCATCAGACATGGATACACTGCAAAGTGGAATGTTTGTGTACCCCTGTGAAATTTAAGGATGTCATTCTGATTCAGGGAGCCTGGAACAAGAGCTTGGTTGCTTGTCACACATACACAAAGTCCATGGCATCTGCTCTTTTCAACTATTATGTGAAATTACGCTCATCTCTGGGCTGTCAAAGGGGCTAGAGAGAATAGCAAGATTTGACTCTGGTCTCCCTCCATCCTTGAGTCTGGTTATGTTTGGGCAAAGTGGAGGCAGTAAGGGATCACTGGTAATATTAGAGGGAGTATGATGTAGAGTTTGTATTATAGAATAAGCAAATGATATTCTGTGGGGAATCTATTTTTCTGATAACATGATTTTCCTTTTAAATATACCAGAATTAGCATCTCCTTTTAGTTAACTATAGATTTGTCCTAAGAAAAGCAAGCATGGTGAGATCTGAGGATTGAGGTTCAAAGCCAGCCCAGGCAGGAAGGTCCATGAAACTCTTATCTCCAATTAACCACCAGAAAACCAGAAGTGGCACTGTGACTCAAGTGGTAGATCGCTTGCCTTAAGCTGAAGAGCTGAAGGGCAGTGCCCAGGCCCAGAGTTCAAGCCCCATGACTGACAAAAAAAAAAAAAAAAGCATGGTATGTCTGTCAGAACAAGATTTAACATAAGGCAGGGCACTGGTGGCTCACACCTGTATTCCTAGCTACTCAAGAGGGTGAGATCTGAGGATCACAGTTCAAAACCAGCCCAGGCATCAAAGTCCATGAGACTCTTTTTTTTTTTTGTCGGTCGTGGGGCTTGAACTCCGGGCCTGGGCGCTGTCCCTCAGCTCTTCAGCTCAAGGCCAGCACTCTACCATTTGAGCTACAGCGCCACTTCTGGTTTTCTGGTGGTTTATTGGAGATAGGAGTCTCACGGTCTTTCCTGCCCGGGCTGGCTTTGAACCGCGATCCTCAGATCTCAGCCTCCTGAGTAGCTAGGATTACAGGCGTGAGCCATCAGCGCCCGGCTGAGACTCTTATTTCTATTTAACCACCACAAAACTGGAAGTGACTGGCTCAGAGTGGTAGAGCGCTTGAGCTGAAGAGCTAAGGGATAGTACCCAGGCCCAGAGTTCAAGCCCCACGACCGACAAAAGTAAAAAGATTTTTATTTTTTTTTAAATTTTTGCCAATACTGGGCACTGTCCCTGAACTTTTTTGTTTTGTTTTGGCCAGTCATGGCACCTGAACTCAGCTGGGTGCTGTCTCTCACCTCTTCAGCTCAAGGCTAGTGCTCTACCACTCAAGCCATAGCGCCACTCTGGCTTTTTCTGCTTATATGGTGCTAAGGAATTAAACCCAGGGCCTCATGCATGCAAGGCAAGCATTCTACCACTGAGCCACCTTCCCAGCCCCCTGAACTTTTTTTTTCTCAAAGCTAGCACTCTACTTCTTGAGGCATAGCTCCACTCCTGGCTATTTGTTAATTAATTGGAGATAAAGAGTCTCATGGACTATTCTGCCCAGGCTGGTTTCAAACCATGATGCTGAGATCCCAGCCTCCTGAGTAGCTAAGATTATGGGCGGGACCACCAGTGCCCAACACTTTTTTTTCTGAGACAAGGTCTCACTATATAACTTAGACTGGCCTTGAGCTCATGATCCTCCTGCCTCAACGTCGGAGAGACTGGAAATGGAAACGCTCAGCACCCATGCCTGTCTCAGAGCGATTAGTATTTAATTTAGAAATGAATTCTCTGTGGTTTGATAGGATTAGAGGGGCTGGAAATAGAATTGCCTTTTCAATTTTTTTATTTTGAGACAAACAAACCAATCTAATCTGGCCTTGAACTCAAGATTCTCCTGCTTTCTATTCCCAAGTGCTGGGTGACAAGTGTACATCACTGTGCCCAATTCTTTTCCTCTTTCTTTCTTTTTTTTTTTTGTCATGGGGCTTGAACTTTGGGCTTCAGTGCTGTCCCTGAACTTTTCAATTCAAGACGAATGCTCTACCACTTGAGCCACAGTGCCACTTCCAGTTTTCTGGTGGTTAACTGGAGAGAAGAGTCTCACGGACTTCTCTGCCTGGGCTGGCTTTGAACTGTGATCCTCAGATCTCAGCCTCCTGAGTAACTAGGATTATAGGCGTGAGCCACTGGCACCCAGCTCCAGGTTCCAGTTCTTGTAGTTCAGAATGTTAAACATTCACCCTTCTGTGTGTGCTTCTAGATAATGGGGGCTTGTCCATGCCATGCCAAGTGGAGAATTCTAGCCAGGATCATTGAGTCTAGCAAATGGCCTTCATTGACAGTCAATGGCTCACTTTGTACTAATGTCACAGCCACTAAGAAGTGGTGATAAAAACTCTGTGGTCTGGGCTGGGAAGATGGCTCAGTGGTAGAGCGCTTGCCTTGCATGCATGAGACTCTGGGTTTGATTCCTCATCACCACATAAGCAAAAAGAAAAAAGCTGGAAGTGGTGCTGTGGCTCAAGTGGTAGAGCACTAGCCTTGAGCTGAAGAGCTGAGGGACAGCGCCCAGGCCCAGAGTTCAGGCCCCACGACCAGACCCCAAAAAAAAAAAAAAACCCAAACAAAACTCTGTGGTCTTGAGCTGGGAAGGTGGCTCAGTGGTAGAGCACTTGCCTTGCATGCATGAGGCCCTGGGTTCGATTCCTCAGCACCACATAAGCAAAAAGAAAAAAGGCCGGAAGTGGAGCTATGGCTCAAATGGTAGAGTGCTAGCTTTGAGCTGAAGAGCTGAGGGACAGCGCCCAGGCCCAGAGTTCAGGCCCCATGACTGGACCAAAAAAAAAACAACTCTGTGGTCTTACCAGATACCAGTGGCTCATGTCTATAATCCTAGCTACTTAGCAGGCTGAGATCTAAGGATCTCAGTTCAAAGCTATCCTGGGCAGAAAAGTTCATGAGAGGGCTGGGAAGGTAGCTCAGTGGTAGAGTGTTTGCCTTGCATGTCTGAGGCCCTGGGTTCGATTCCTCAGCACCACATAAGCAAAAAAGGAAAAAGCCGGAAGTGGCGTTGTGGCTCAAGTGGTAGAGGGCTAGCCTTGAGCTGAAGGGCTGAGGGACAGCGCCCAGGCCCAGAGTTCAGGCCCCACAACCGGTAATAAAAAAATAAAAAATAAAAAAAAAGAAAAGTTCATGAGACTCTTATTTCCAATTAACCAGCAAAAAGTAAGAAGTGGAGCTATGGCTCAAGTGGTAGAGTACTAGCCTTTAGTGAAAAAGTTGAGAGACAGCACCCATGTCCTGAGTTTAAGCCCTAGGATGGAACCAAAAAAAATCCTTGTGTCTTGAAACAGCTGGCCATCTATTGTGAGGCCCCCTTGTGGTGGGGTGTTATTGGATGCTAACCTATTTCAGGAGGCTGCAAGAAGGTTCCATGCACTGGTTATCGTCACATAGAGAAATTAGAGCTATCAAAAGCACATACTTAGGTACATATGAACCTACACTGGAGGGTGGAAAGCCAGTAACTCATCCTAAGGAGTCTTGAGAAATTGTTAGGGGAATAGCCAATGCCAGAAATCCTCTCATAGGTGCCAGAATATCTAGATATCCTCAGAGATGGCTATGCAGATCATTAGAAATAATCAGCATCCCTGCTGCTGTAGCCTGTTCTTGCCCCGACCATACAGATTTCTCTATCAGGAATTGGAAGGAATACCAAGGTTCTTAAGAAGTAGAGAGGTGCCACTCAGGGGCATTGAAATCCGCAATCGATTTGAATGACTTCTTGATTCCTTACTGTAAATGTGCTAACTGGTAGGTGTTTGGAATATTGGATTTGGTTGAGAGCTCATCTGTCTACTGACAGCTACTTGTCTTCATTTCTATCCCAGGGATGATGGAAAAGAGGCACTCAAATTCTACACCAACCCTTCGTACTTCTTTGATCTTTGGAGGGAGAAGATGCTGCAGGACACCAAGGATATCATGAAAGAGAAGAGAAAGCATAGGGTGAGGGGAAGAGGGCCTCTGTTCTACACATCAGTAGGCATGCTTGTGGAGGGCGGATAAAAAGGAAACTAGTCTTATGTGAAGTAATTCCAAGTGACTGCTTGCATGGAGAATGCCAGGTGAAACTCTTAAAAAAAATGTGTCCACACCAAGCACCACCAAGATGAAAGCACAAATCACACCAAAAACGTGTTTGTTCCCGCTAACACTGTTAACAATTGAGTATATTCAGGCTGAGTTTTAGGAATAGATTTTTCTGGTTACCATTTATTTCTCTTGCAATTTGCACCTGAACCCTGCTGGACAAGGCTAGTCCCTTTCCCACCAATTTTGCAGCTCAGTTCTGAGACCAGCACCAGGTTCTGCATCACAATTTGTAACAGGAGCAGGTTAACTCCCTTGCTCCTGGGTGGGGCCAAGGAAGGGGGATATGCCTGGGTTGTAGAGATACTTCTCTCCCCGTAGGCTCCTGATGCTATATGTGACCTACCAGTTCCCACCCCACAATCCCATTAGCATGGCTGCCAGCAGACCCAGGAGACTGCCAGAGGCTAATGCAGCTGCATGGGCTGGAAAATTCTTCAGTGATTTGGTTTTATTTTTTTAACTATTTCCTTCTATCTACTCAAGATATCAACAGCTGTTATTCTTTTTCATCTCTCTAAACTGACCTTTGTGGCAGAGCAAATAACAAATAGCTGTTTACTCACTTCCTAACAATTAGAACTGTTCAAAGACGTGAAAGAGTTACCCAGAGATGTAACGGATTTTCCATTGCGAGAGGTGTTGAGTGTGGGACTGAGCAAATGTTTTGCCCAGGAGGTGGTTTGAATTAGATGGCCTCTAGGTCACTCCAAACCCGGCAATTCTATAAATTCTGCTGTTATCATGTGTTGTCTAGGCAAATCATCTCTTGAATGTGCATCCTGGAAGATGGGTGGAATTTTAATGAAGAACTTTGGAAAATATTTTACCGAGGCTCTTTTGTTCCTTCTTAATATAGAAAGAAAAGAAAGATAATCCAAATCGAGGAAATGTAAACCCACGTAAAATCAAGACGCGTAAGGAAGAGTGGGAGAAAATGAAGATGGGACAAGAATTTGTGGAGTCCAAAGAAAAGCTGGGGCCTTCTGGGTAGGTGATGCTTTTGTACTATCAGTAGCCTTCTTTGAAGAGATTAGGGACCTGGAGATAACAGTCTGGCATAACACCTTTCACACCCCCTGAAATTTGACTGTGGGGTTTAGACCAATACCACCATTAATCAGCTACTTCTAAGTGCAGCCATCTGGTGATTAAAATTTGCTAAATAAATCAAGAGACTCAGCAATTTAAATGAGGTGACTGGAGTGGTCTAGGAAAAAAAAAAAAAAGACCCATGGCTTCTTGTGCCTTACTCTGCCAGACACTAGTATATCCAAGGATCTCAAGAAAAATTGGAAAGCGAGGAAAGTGGTCCAACGAGCGCTTTGCCTCTAAAGTGTGGATCTGAAGGTCAAGCCTAAGAGCCAGTCATTTTGAAGAAGTAGGAAGGGCCAGGCAGGGAAGTCATGCATTACCAGAGCAACTTCTCAGCCAGCCTTTGTCAGGTTTGGGAGAGCGGCTGGCCAAGGGGCTGAATGCAGAGCTCAGAGTCAGTGTGGGAAAGGTTGCTAGGCCACTGTGGAGGCTATATATCTCTGTGGAGAAATAGGAGATGTCAGTCTGACCCCATTTCCCAATACCAAATCATACGGGAGGTGTAAAGCGGGGGAAATGGGTTGTAAGCTTGGTTTGATGCTTATCCTGTTGTCTGACCTGTGTGACGTTCAGAACCAAGTCACCACGACTGCTTGGCACAATTGTCACACTGGTTTTTCCTCTAAATACATTGCATCCTAGCTGTCAGAGATCCATGCCAGCCCATGCTGGGTGTCTAGGGATGATAAAAGGAAAGAGTTGTGTTGTTCTTGCTTTTAGGAGTAACTCTACCATGAAAACCTTGACTTTTAAAAATCTTGACACTTCTGACACTCGTTCTTTCTGGATTAAGAGATTTGTTTTAAAGAGTGGAGAAGATAGTGAGAGGGAAAATGAATCTTTCTTTCTGTAGGGAAGTCAGCCCCGAGTGTGCTTTCATTGCCCCCCCCCCCCCCCCCCCCCCCCCCCCCGCAATACAAGAGGTTGTTTTGCCATCCTTTTGAGACAGGCACTTCTCCTAGGTCCAGTGACTCTTAAGGTCGGAGGTGTACATGTTTAGGATGTCAACTGCTGGGTCCTGTTTTGTGAAGTGGGGGTGGTGAAGATGAGGGGTTTGCCTGCCATTTTTGTCTTGCATTGGGCTACATGCGTGGCCTACCTAGACATGCTTGTTGATGAACTTACCAAGCAATGTGTCAAGCTGAGTGCTGGTGGCTTAGACCTATAATCCTAGTTACCCAGAAGACTGAGGTCCTCACATCTCAGTTTGCTGAGTAGCTAGGATTACAGGTGAGCCACTAGCACCTGGCCTTGCTTGACATTTTGATATCATTCATTCAGAGCAAGTTCATTCAAGGCCCAGTGCTTTGAGGGAGAGGTTTTCATAAGGCAAGCCCTAGCACCCTGCTTTAAGTAGCAGCTCATTTCGGTTGATGAGCATCCTGGCATAGGGACTGCATTTACTACCACACAGCAACCTTGGCATGATTTTTGCAATCAAATGCCTCCTTGGCCTTTGAGCACTCAGAATCAGGCTGTAGGCCAGTCACATGTTTGCAGCTCAATGGTCTGTGCATTTTAGCTTCACCCTTTGACCACCACAGGCTTTGGGCTTCGAGTATCGCTGTCCCTAATGTTTAGGAGACAATTTGAAAGAATGTTGGATTTGATAAAGCTGATACCGGAAGAGAGCAGCAGGGTTTTAATCATAAGGGTTGGATCCTGTTACCATAGCAGAAATGTCTGAAAGATGAATAAAATAGGATATTTAGTCCTAAAATAAAATTTCAATATAACAGAAAATAGGTGGGAAATCTACTGGCTTTATTTCTCCCTAGTCCCTTTTGTATCACATGCATTTTTGTAGTATGTACAAGGAAAGGAGTATCACTCAGGTTCTTTATTTATTTTTACTTTTTTTGTCCTGGGACTATTTAAATGATAGCTTTTCACCTTGGGTCTGTTGTCAGCTATTCACCATCCTTGGTGTATCAGAATGGCAGCATTGGCTCTGTTGAAAATGTGGATACAGGCACCTACCCACCACCGCCACAGTCAGACTCTGCCTCTTCACCTTCTCCTTCCTTCTCTGAGGACAACTTGCCTCCCCCGCCAGCAGAATTCAGGTAAGTGGTAGAACCTCTTCTACCCGTCCTGTGTGGCTAAGCACTCAGGAACAGAACAAGAGTTAAAAATACAGGACAGGACCACTGGCACAACTTGTGGCAAATCTGTCCAGGTAATAGAAAAAATGAACATTTATCAACAGTGAGGGTGCTGGATGTTGTACTGAACACTGTAATACGTTACTTATTCCCATAGAAGGCCTCTTGAGGAGGTACTGGTATTATCCCCGTGTTACAGATAAGTAAACTATGAGGCACAGAAAGGTCAGTGAACTTACGTAAGGTTACACAGCGAACAAGAGGCAGAGCCATGATTTAGTCAAGCCTAATTTTCTTTTTTTGGTCGGTCGTGGAGCTTGAACTCTGGGCTTGGGCCCTGTCCCTGAGCTCTTCAGCTAAGGCTAGTGCTCTAGCCATGGCATCACTTCTGCTTTTCTGGTGGTTTATGGGAGATAAGAGTCTCAGGGACTTTCCTGCCCGGGCTGGCTTTGAACCGAGATCCTCAGATCTCAGCCTCCTGAGTGGCTAGGATGACAGGCGTGATTACTGAACACCTAGCCTAATCTTAACTACTTGCTGTTCTGCCTGAAGGAACAGATGGAAGTCACCAGCCAGTCTTGGGGCTTGAACTCAGGGCCTGGGCACTGTCCCTGAGCTTCTTTTGCTCAAGGCTAGCACTCTACCACTTGAGCCACAGTACCACTTCCATTCTTCTATTATGTGATACTGAGGAATTGAACCCAGGGCTTACTGCATGGTAGGCCAGAACTCTACCACTAGGCCACATTCCCAGCCCCTTGTTACCAGCTTTAACTAGTATGAGATAACATGGTCCAGTCTGTTGGCCGTGTAGGAGTTAGCAGACACCTTGCTCAGAATCTAGGGATCTTGCAGATAGCTACTCTCCCTGCCCCCTCTCCTGTTGCTCTGGCAAATTTCACTTCTAGGTAGACTGTTCAGAAAGATGAAAACAAGGAGAAAGGGGAATGAGGCTTAGAGTCTCTCTGGCAGAGGTATATGGAGAAGATTGCCTGCCAGTAATGGCTGGAAAGGGGGCTGAGGGTTGTTTGCATTGCACTATTTCCTTACAGTTACTTTTTCCCTTTCTGATGCCTGACAAATGAGCACTTTGAAAGGTGCACTTTTCTCCTTGCACTGTTTAATTAGTGAGTGAATATATTGAGGCCCCTTAGAGGCAGTCTAAAGCAATGCTGTCCTCCCTTCCCCCATTTTTCTTGGCCCTTGTAACCACTAATCCCAAATCTCCTCCTGCCTCCCAAATCACTTCCTGCTGGCTGCCCTGTCAGATGCAGCTAAGGCTTGAAGGTCTGTGGAAAATTCCAAGATGGATGCTTTTCTAAGAAGTAGCTATTAGTTCAGGGCAGATGCAAAGGTAGAAGAAAAGCTTCAGCCCCACACATGACCTGAAACTGCAGTTCCAGGCCCATGAATCTGTTCCCAGGAGAAGAGGAGGCTTAATCCTCTTTCCAACCTAGATCAAGAGTTGGTAGTCTGAGCGTTTCCATCTTTCACATCCTCAGATAGAGATTTACTCTCCTTCAAGTGAGATGCATGCACCTAAACCTATACCCGCTCAGGCTTGGTCAGCTCAGCGTGGGTTCCTTTCCTCACAAAATCTGCTGAATGTTAATAACCTGAGAAACACAGCCCAGTGGGTGGGTGGTGTTTGAATTTTCATTCCAGGTCTTGCCTGTATGTGTTCTGAGTCCTGGGTCTAGACTTAAACTAATGGTCACCCATGGGCCATTCCTCTCCAGGAGGGCTCAGGGTCAGGTTCACGTTTGGGAGCAGGCCTTCTTCTGAGGTGTCTTGGCTGGCTTTTAACTGCCAGGGGCATCCGAAGTCCACTTTTACCAGGTAGTTCCCCTCACTTCTCTGCCAGCGGGAAGCTAGCTCCTTACCTTATAAGGCTGTTCAGTTCCTTGTCGATCTATTCTGACTGCTCCTGGGTGTTTCCTTCTGTTGGGCTGAGTAAAGCAGGTGAACATGGCGGGCTAAGGGGAGCCTGGGCTTGTAGGTAAGCCTTCCTCTAAGTAGGTGTTTGTGCCCTCAAAATGAAGATGGGTCTCTTCTTTGTCCCTCTAGCTACCCAGCAGACAACCAAAGAGGATCTGGCTTGGCTGGACCCAAAAGAACCAGCGTGGTCAGCCCCAGCCACCCACCTCCAGCTCCTCCTCTGGGCTCTCCACCAGGCCCCAAACCTGGGTTTGCGCCTCCACCTGCCCCTCCCCCTCCACCGCCAATGAGCGTGCCGCCTCCACCACCTCCGGCAGGATTTGGGTCTCCAGGGACTCCTCCGCCACCTTCTCCCCCATCTTTTCCACCTCACCCTGATTTTGCTGCCCCTCCCCCACCTCCCCCACCACCAGCAGCTGACTATCCCCCACCACCTCCCTTGTCCCAACCAACAGGAGGAGGAGCCCCTCCTCCTCCTCCTCCTCCCCCGCCTCCCGGACCCCCACCTCTCCCCTTCAGTGGTGCAGATGGCCAGCCCACCATACCATCACCACATTCTGAGGCCACCAAGCCCAAGTCTTCCTTGCCTGCTGTGAGTGATGCCCGGAGCGACCTGCTTTCTGCCATCCGCCAAGGTAAGTAAATCTGCTGGTGGTTTGAGGCCATGGAACTTTGTCTTTCTGGAGCTGATTTGACTGAGTAAGGGGTGCCCATTTCAAGGGACAGCTTTTATGGAGTATAGAAAGCAATTGGAACCTTGGGCTAGAAAAAGATTTTGCCCTAAAAATGTGAAGATTCAGTTTTGTTTTGTTTTTTAATTGCATTGGTCTAAATTGAAGACTTTCCTGTTTGTTTGTTGGCAGTGCCAGAGAGGACTACTCAGGACCTTTTGCTTGCTAGGCAAGTGCTTTCCCATCTGAGTCACATCTCTAGTTCTTTTTGTTTTTGGTTTTTTGGTTATGGGGCTTGAACTCAGGGCCTGGGCGCTGTCCCTGAGCTGCTTCACTCAGAGCTAGTGCTCTACCACTTGGAGCCTCAGCACCACTTCTAGTTCTTTTTGTTTTAATTTGATTTTAGATAGGATCTGGTGCTTTTATTTATTTATTTATTTTTGTCGGTCGTAGGGCTTGAACTCTGGGCCTGGGCGCTGTCCCTCAGCTCTTCAGCTCAAGGCGAGCGCTCTACCACTTGAGCTACAGCGCCACTTCCGGTTTTCTGGTGGTTTATTGGAGATAGGAGTCTCACGGTCTTTCCTGCCCGGGCTGGCTTTGAACTGTGATCCTCAGATCTCAGCCTCCTGAGTAGCTAGGATTACAGGCGTGAGCCACCAGTGCCCGGCGATCTGGTGCTTTTACCTACGACTCTGGATTCTCTTACTTCTACCTCCTGAGTAGCTGGGACTACAGCTGGGAAATACCATGCCCAGCCCATTGGCTTTTTTTTGTTTGTTTTGTTTTTCTTTTTGTTTTTTAAGCTCTCACCAGCATTTTCACCTGGACTGGGCCTAGAATTTTGATCTCTTACCTCTACCTCTTACATAGCTAGGATTAGTTATATACCACCTTGCCTGGCTACAGTGAAAAATTGTAAAGATTCCTAGGCTCTTGGAACTCCTTGAAAATACAGTGTGTGTATTTGCACGTGAGAATTGCTACTAGATGGATCTTACCCTGTTTTTTCTTATCCCTTTCCCTTTTTTCCCCCTTTATCTCCTCCTTACCCTCCCCAACTGATCGAACCCTCCTGGAGCATTTGTCCTCTTTGTCAGTGCCCACATCTGGTTCCAAAGTGTTAGTTTTGTTCTGAGGGTGATCAAGAGACAGGAGCTGCAGAGCCCCATTGCAGCTGGCGACTTGAGCAGTCAGTGCGCTTACAGGATGGGCTATTGTGGCACTCCCCACTCAGAGCCTGATGAGAAAGTGCCATCCTCAGCAGCAGCCACACACCCACAGCACCGGAACACCCATTTCATGAAGCCTATATTCTCTTCCTGCTTGCCCTGCCTCTTCACATTCCTAAAGGATCCTTCTTTTTCCTGTCTTCAGTCTCTCCCTCTATCGGAGGGCACGCCCCTTAGTGCTGAATGGGTTCTGTGGCTGGAAGTGCCTTCTTAACCCTTCTCCCTTTCTGTCACCAGGCTTTCAGCTGCGCAAGGTTGAAGAACAGCGGGAGCAAGAGAAGCGTGATGTTGTGGGCAATGATGTGGCCACCATACTGTCACGTCGCATTGCTGTTGAGTACAGCGACTCTGAAGACGACTCCTCGGAGTTTGATGAAGATGACTGGTCGGATTAACTCGTTCTGCCTGCTGCCCCCCCTCCCCTTTTTCTTTCCTTCCTTCCTGTCTTTGATATCTACCCTAACAATCCCATGGGGGAAAGGAAGGAAAAAAAATTTTTTTTCAAGGGGCCAAAGCCTTCCCCGAAGCAACCAAAGATATATCCAAGTGCTTCCTCCAAATTGCCGTGCATTTTCTCTCCATTGCCAGGCCCTTGGGCTCCTGAGGGTCTGCAGCTGAGTTGCTCCTTCTTCCCTTCAAGTGACTGGTACATATTGGAAGGAAGAAAACCCCCAGAGCAGATCCTTTGATTGGGTTTCAGTTGGAGATAGTGTCTTCCCCTAAGAGCCATTTTCAATGGTGGCCTTCTTCCAAAATCCTTGCCCTCAGCTTTTTCAAATCATGCCAGCCATTATTCTGGTCCTAACCCCATGAGAATGGCCTGTGTGGATGCAGACGGCCCCCTTCCTGGGCTCAGGAAGAAGGCATCGCAGGCAAGTGTCCATAGCCGGACTGTGGCAGGCTCCTGCCCCCTGCGCCGCCCTTTCTAGCCGGTGGGCTGCGCTTGCTCAGTTATCTCTAGGCCTGGCTGCCTCTCTTCAGGAGGCATCTTGTCCTGCCTGGCTGTTGTCTCTCTCCCAGGCTCCCTCCTGAATTCCTGGTGTTCAGGTGTCTTTTAGATGTCTCTCCCTCACCCCTAGGTGCCTTTAGGCTACATAGCCTGGTTTTAATCTCCAGTATCCATGACCAAACTAGCTCTGACACTCAGGAACCTGGGCCTCTGCTGGTTGTCAGGAAGAAAGCCTAGAGACTTGGAACTACAAGGGTCCTGGGGTCCAGCTCTCTGAAGGACACTGAGGCTTGCCAGTAGGAAGGGACTCGCTCAAGGTCACACAGTTGGATAGTGACAGAGCATGCGCCCAGATTTCTGAATTCCAAGTTACCCATGCTTTCTAGGACCAAATAATGGGCACCTGCTGGAGTCTGGGCAGAGCCGCTTTAACGATGCTGCTCAACACTGCTTGTAGGCAGGAGTCCCAGTCAGAGGGCTCAGGGCCTTGGCAGCCCTGTCGGTACTGTTCTGATCCTTGTGTCCTCTCTTGTCACCCTTTGTCACCCCGTTCTACTTCCAGCCACTCAGGTGGCCAAGGAGCTGCACTTTCGAGGGACCAGGAATAGGGAAGAGAAGAAAGGGAGCAGGAAGCCTTGACAAATGCTGTTTTCAGTTCCTCTGCAGCCTCTTCCCCTTTTCTTTCTCCAATGTTTAGCCAGGGTTCTGCCCGCAGTAGAAACTTCAGTCGCTGGGGCTGGCAGCTGCCTGCCGCAAGATACCTGCCTGGGGGTGGGGGACTGGCAGCCATGAAGAGAAGGCTAAAAGGCGGAAGGACTCCGGGTCCTCTTTCTAGCTCCCACTCACTAATACCGTGATGTTGCTTCCCCCTCTGCCTCCCTGCCCAGAGCTAATACACAGGTGCTATTTTTCAGGAAAAAAAACAACCACCAAAAAACTGGTCAGCTCTGGCCAACAGCAAGATTTCTTCTCTTCTGCTCCAACTATTGTGTAGCCTTTTAGGCTGAAATCAGCTTCTCCTGGCTTCTCCAGCTTTCAGAGCCTGAAACAAAGAGAAACAGGATCTGTCTCTACCCAGCACAGCAAATGGTTGTAGTAATTGCCAAAGCCCTCGTAAACCCCTCCGGCTTGAGGAGAGTGAGGAGAGTGCGTAATCACGGCGCTGCTGCCTGCCCTCACCCAGAGCCTCCCTCCACTTCCCTCCTCAAGTTTGGAACGTGGGGACTAAGCCTGCAGATGCCAGAGGCCCTCCTGCCGCTCCTCCGGTGTCGTGCCCCCCCCCCCCCCCCCGCGCCTGTGCCACAGGGCTTGGCACCCAGCTCCATGCTAAGCACATGGGCTCGCCTGCCCTGGTGTACTTCCACCTTGCCCTTCGCTTTCATCAGAACCCTAAAATGGCCGTTGAAGGTGCCCAGCCGCAGCTCGGCAGGGGCTGGAGAGGCAGGCAGGCAGGCGGAGGGCGGTGGTTCTTCCAAATAGGAGTCCTGGGGCCTGGCCAGGCCAGGGTTTGGGCCTAATGGCTTTGACTAAATTACCCCCATCCTCCTCCTTTCCGGAAAAAGGGGGAGCCAGAGCCGCTGCTATCATTCTCTTCTGACCTTGAAGGGGGCGGTGTTGGCCTAGCTTCTGGAATGGACAGAGTCCACCGTGCAAAGGGCTGGGGGCAGGAGGAGATGGGGAGGGCCTGCCTGCGGAAGGTAGGATTAGATCATTAGCTCAGTGACCTCCTAGGGTTTCCATGTGCTGTGTTCTCATCCTACAGCTGGTTTGGTAATGATCTGCAAGTCCCGGAGAGCAACAGCACAGCTCTGCCTGACGCTCTCATTAAAATCTATGCAGCCAAGCTCGGCGCTTTGTAGCAGCCGGCCTTGCGAAGCCTCAGCTGGGGGGTGGGGGGACCCAGTCAGCTGAGAGGCCCTCTGGGCTCTACTTATGCATATGTGCACCAAAAAAAAAAAAAAAAGTGCTTCTTTACCCTGGGCCCTTTAAGATGATAAAGGACCCAGTGCAGGTAGGCATGTGTTTGTGGAATTCTGTAATTGTAGAATGTGAAGTTTGGTGGTTATTTAAACTGGGCCGAGGCTGCTAAGAGTATAGAACAATGGCCCATAAGGACTCTTAAGCTTCAAAGCCAAGGAGCCACCTCCCTTCCTGGTCTGCCCAGCCCAGGGGACCTGCCCCCATTCCTGTGGCCCAGAGGCCCAGCTTCCATTCGGCAGTGTCAGAAGTGACTTGTGGCTTTGCCTTGCTCGTGAGATGATTTCATTCCAAGGGAGCAGGGGTGGGGGAGGCGGGCAGCGATCCCTTGGAGGCTCAGAGCAGCTGGCCTGAGCTCCCGCCCCCTCCGATGGAGGCTCCAGCGCCCTCACAAACGACCCTGGCCAATGTCACCGCAGCACTGAGGCGGTGTTGTCAGGGCTAATGTGAAATCTCTTCCCGTGGCGCCGATCCTCCGACTCTGCAGCGCCAGCATGGACAGATTGAGGTCTCTGTGGCTTTGGTGACCCTGCTTAAGCATTCCCACCGCGTTCCTGCTCTGCTGTAGGACTGCCTCCCGCCGCAGCCCCTCACCTGACCTCGGGGCCTGCGGGAGGACGCAGCGTGCCAGGCCCAGGCGCTCCTGCTCAGGAGAGATGCCAGCCTTCCTCGGAGCGCGTAAGGCTTTGAGCTCTGCCTGAGTCCATCTGACCAGGGGCAGGGGTCACAGAGCAGGGCCTGGTCCCGCGCCTCCCGCCACCTTCACTTTAATGGGGCCTCAGCAAGGGCCAGGGAACATCTCTGTCTCTGTATTAACTTCAGCCGGTTAATTCATTTGAGAAACTAACCAGTTTTTACTTTCTGTCTAGAATGATGTACATGTGGAAGAGTAAGCTGTAATGCTCCCAAAGTGCCTTGTTTTCTCTGATATAAATATATTTATAAGAACAGACTCCAGTGAGTTCTTGGGTGTGTTTGGCACCTCCAGATTTTAGGGAGTGAGCAAAGAGGTAGTGGAGACACCGTTGGAGAACACACCTTTCCCCAAGGCTGGGAAGGTAGCCGGTCCCCCCAAAGTGCCTCTCTTCTCCTCTGCCCCTTCTCAGACCCTTGGAAGGATACCAAGTTTTTAGGGCCCTGAAACTCCAAGCTTGGTCTCCTTTGCTTTCCTGTCAGGCTTGTTTATGTACCATATTTGTACCCCAGTGACCCGAAGGTCCTGTGGAACTCTGTACACATGTGGACACCATCTTCAGGAATTCGATAAAGGCTCTGTGGCCACGCAGCCACCTCTGGTGTTGGTGTGTTTCATGGGAGACTCGGAGGCCATGCTGAGAGCCACGGGCTGCAGGGGGCCTCTGGGTAGAGACCCACGTTGTGAGGTTGGAGTCCAGGCCCCCTCCCCACGAGGAGGGGTGTCGACAGCTCCTCAGCCAGCGGGGGGAGCACAGGCTGAGTGCCGCCCAACATCTGGCCGGCATCTTGCCTGCCTCAGACCCAGGCGGCATACCTTCAGCAGAACCCTGTTACCGGCGGATCCCTAGAAAGGCTTGGGCTGCTGCATACCTCCTCCTGCCTGGGGAAGGCAAGGGGGGGGCGGCCTTTTGTTCTGGACCCCCCCCCCCCAAGTTACCTGCACAGGAAGCAGTGGCAGTTCCTGGCACGGCTGCCAGGGGTTGCTGTCCGGGGGTGATGGGTGAGCAGGCATCGGCTCCAGGCCCCGTAGACCCAAGGGGCTGACCCTGGGCAGGAGGGTGGGCCGGGTTGGTGGCTCTGCGGGTCACGCCTGCTTGTGGGAGTCACCCACTGGCGACAGAGAAGCTTTGAGTTGTCAGCAACGCTGCACCCGGCCTGAGCTCATGGGGGGGGGGGGGGGCTGCAGGCCACGCAGCTCCCTCTGCTCCGGCCTGTGTTTAGTCAGCACTTGGCTGCCAGAGGCTGGTGACTGACAGGCAGCCAGACGCCCGCCCTGGCAAGACAAAATGGAGGTGTGGGGGTTGGGGGGGTGCTGGCGGCAGGCCAGTCCCGAGCCTGTCCTCACCTCCCGGGACTCACCCTGAGGAGGAGGAGGAGCGCTTAGCAGGCACCCATTACTGCCAAAGACTGCACATGCTTAGCGTTGATCTTGAGGGCAGGAGCTCCGTGTTCCACCCGAGAACAGCAGGTTCGCAGGTGAAGTGCTTGCCCAGAGCCCGCAGCCCACACCCTGCCCGGCCTGCGGCAGCCCACGGCGCGGCTCAGCCCTTCGCTCCCACCCTGGAGGCTAACGGGCCCTGCAGCCCACCCTGCCTGGCACGCGCGCGGGCGATTCCTTACCCACACTTGGTGTGTGTGAGTGGCACCCGCACACATTGCGTAGGCCCCTGGCCTTGTGCAAACGAGGACGCAAGTCAGCACGCATTACTGGAACAGACTCATGGCTGGCGGGTCCTACACCAAATCCCAGCCAGCCGCCTTCCCCGCTCGCTACCTCGCCCTGTTGCTCACTGCCCCCTCCTGGCCGTCTGACCACCAGGGCAACCTGGCGCCATTTGCTGACATTCTGCTCCAGGTGGCAGCCAGCTCCTGTCTAGACCACAGGCAGGAGCCGTTTCAGGTGCCCCCCTTGGGCCCTGGGGAGAAGCTCAGGACCCGAACGGCCTTTGATGACCCAGGAATCTCTGGTTCCATCTTCTACAGCAGGCCGAAGCCTACCTCACCCCAACACCCCCCGCCCTGCCCCGCTGCCCCAGCAAGC